GGTGTCTTGCCATTTATTTGGGTCTTCTGATTTCTTTTAGCAATGTTTTCTAGTTGTTCACGTATAAGTCATGTACCTTCTTGGTTAAATTTAATCCTATTTTATTTTTTGTTCTGTTATAAATGGAATTATTATTTTTTATTATTCATTGCTAGTATTTAGAGAGAGAAATGATTCTTGTGTGTTCATCTTGTATCCTACAATTTTGCTGAATTCATTTATTGGCTCTAGTAGTTTTTTGTGGATTCCTTAGTCTTTTCCATATGTTAAATCTCATGGTCTATGAGACTAGAGATAGTTTTACTTTTTTTCTTTCCAATTTGGATGCATTTTTTAAAATTTGTCTCACCTATTTCCTCTAGCTAGAACTTCCAGTATAATGAATAGAAATTATGAAAGCTGGCATCCCTGTCTTATTCCTGATATTTGGAAGAAACCTTCCTGTTTTTTAGCCTAGTGTATTATGTTAGCTGTAGTTTTTCAGAAATGCTTTCTATTGTGTAGCAGCAGTTCTATTCTAGTCCTACTATGTTAAATGTTTGTTTTTTATCATGAAAGGATGTTTTTGTCAAATGCTTTTTCTGCATCAGTTGAGATGATCATGTGATTTGTTTTCTTCATTTTATTATTGTGATATATTACACTGATTTATTTTCTTATGGTGAGCCACCTTGCATTCTTGGAAATAAATTGTACTTGGTCGTGGTGTATAGTACTTTTTATTTGTTGCAAGATTTGGTTTGCTAGTATTTTGTTGAAAACTGCACACATATTCAGAAGGAAAATTGATCATAGTTTTTGGGTGATTTCTTTATCTGGCTTTGGTTCAAGGTAACTCATAGAATGAGTTAGGAAATGTTCACTCGTCTTCTATTTTTGGAAGAATTAGAGAAGGATTGGTGTTAGTTTTTCTTTAAATGTTTGGTAGACTTCACCAAACATTTAAAGATTTACAGTTGGTCTTGAACCTTTCTTTGTTGGGAGGATTTGGATTACTGATTCAGTCTTATATCAGTCTGTTCAGATGTTCTGTTTCTTTTTTAGTTCATTGTGGTGGTTTGTGTATTTCTAGGAATTTGTCCACTTCATCTAGGTTATGTAATTTGTTGCTGTACAGTTCACTGTATTCTTTTATTGTCTTTTTTATTTTTGTAAGGTTAGTAGTAAGGTCCCCACCTCATTTAGTTCCTTAAATTGTACAATTAGCATATTGATTTGGGATCATTTTTAATATAGGTGTTACTGTATAAATTTCATGCTTAGCACTGCTTTAGCTGCAGCTCATGCATTTTGGTATTTTGTGTATTCATTGTGAGTAATCTCAATGTATTTTCTAGTTTCTGGGTTTTGAGTTTTTTGTTTTGTTGTTTTGTTTTTTTGAGACGGAGTCTCGCTCTCTCACCCAGGCTGGAGTGCAGTGGCGCAGTCTCGGCTCACTACAGCCTCCGCCTCCTGGGTTCAAGCAATTCTCCTGCCTCAGACACCCGAGTAGCTGGGCTTATGGGCATGTACCACCATACCTGACTAATTTTTCTATTTTTAGTAGAGACAGGGTTTCACCATGTTGGCTAGGCTGGTCTCAAACTCCTGACCTCAAGTGATCTGCCTACCTCAGCCTCCCAAAGTGCTGGAATTATAGGCGTGAGCCACCGTGCTCGGCCTAATTTCTCTTTTGATTTTTCCTTTCATCCTGTAACAAGGTGAAAATAACCCTATGTGTACGGCCCCCAGGGACTTCACACACTCAAACTAGTATACACTTGCCTTTAGCAAATGAGCACATCCTGATTCTCTCTGCAGGTGCCTATCTCTCTCCTAATAGTTTGAGAAAAAGATAGTAATTTTCTGTTTGCCCAGCTATGTTCTTGTAAGGACGTTAGTGTTGCTTTTATCAGCTCTCTACATCTCGAAGCTAAGATCTAAAGCTACGCTGTATGATTGTAATTTTTGTAATTTAGTGAGATAGTCTTTTTTTTTTTTTTTTTTTTTGATGTGCAAAGGACACCAGAGAATTATTTTATGCAGAGGTTATCCTGTATATGTCATTCACGTTGGTTAATTATGTCTTTTCAATCTTCTGTATCAGTGGTCAGAAAACTTTTTCTGTAAATGTCAGATAGTAGACTTTGTGAGAGATACAGTCTCTGTTGCATCGGCCAGACTCTGCAGCTGTAGTGTTAAGCAGCCATCAATAATGCATAAACAAATGAATGTGGCTGTGTTCCAAGAAAACTTTATTTACAAAAAAAAGTTGATAGTGGTGGTATTTTTCATTTACCAAAAAAAACAAAAACAGTAGTGGTGAGCTGGATTTGACCTTTGTGCTATAGTTCACTGACTTCTGTTCTATATCCCTGTTGGTTTTTCTTAATCTGCTTTTCTATGAGTTACTGGGAGAGTTACATTAAAATCACTAATTAAAATTGTAGATTGGTATCTCATTTCTGTCAGCTTTTGTTTATATACAGTCCTCATTATTCTCAGTAGTAATGTTCCAAAAAGTCACTACAAACACTGAATTAATAAATACTGAATCATTGCTCAGAGGAGAAATACAGGGTTAAGCCTCTGGTCACATTTTTGTCAACCAGTCAGGACATAATCTTTTTGTGTGTCTTTCTGCATAAAGACACCTTATTTAATATTGTTGATTTATAAAGATTGAACTAATGGCCAACACCATACCTAATGCCTGAATGAATCATATCTAACACAGATGTTTTCTCCATGAGACATATCACAGGCTTCTTGCACATAGGCACACTAGACAGCACGTAACTGCTATACATATGGGCCATTTAAAAAGTGAAATCTTTGGCCAGGCGCAGTGGCTCACATCTGTAATCCCAGCACTTTGGGAGGCTGAGGCGGGCGGATCACAAGATCAGGAGATCAAGACCATCCTGGCCAACATGGTGAAACCCCATCTCTACTAAAAATTTAAAAAATTACCTGGGCATGGTGGCACGTGCCTGTAGCCCCAGCTACTCAGGAGGCTGAGGCAGGAGAATTTCTTGAACCTGGCAGGCAGAAGTTGCAGTGAGCCAAGATCGCATCACTGCACTCCAGCCTGGCAACAGAGTGAGACTCCATCTCAAAAAAAAAAAAAAAAAGAAGTGAAATCGTCAAGAAAAAGCACAAAAATGCAGTAAATATGGCACTAAATAGACTGAGAAATGGACACTTATTTACATTATCAGAGCTGAAACAAGAAAGCAGAAGATCACCTTGTTCAGCCTCATCTGGGAACATGTATGTCAGGAAATTCAAATTTTTTAACTTCCTCTACATGTCCACAAATGACTGCAAAATAACTGCAAGTGTTGATTTTGAGGTTGCAAATAATTTTAGTATGTGAATTTACAAATACGTAATCTGTGAATAATGAGAAATGCTATTTGGAAGCCATGTTTGCCAGTGCATAGCAATTTCGATTTGTTGTATCTTCTGTTGAAAGGACTGTTTTATCATTACAAATTGTTACTCAGTTTTGTTGTTGTTGTTGTTGTTGTTGTTGTTTTGAGGCAAGAATCTCACTCTGTCACCGAGGCTAGAGTGCAGTGGAGCAATCTCAGCCCTCTGCAACCTCCACCTCCCAGGTCCAAACAATTCTCCTGCCTCAGCCTCCTGAATAGCTGGGATTACAGGCACTCACCACCACGCCCAGCTAACTTTTGTATTTTTAATAGAGACAGGGTTTCACCATGTTGGTCAGACTGGTCTCAAACTCCTGACCTCATGATCCATCTGCTTCAGCCTCCCAAAGTGCTAGGATTACAGGCATGAGTCACCACACCCGGCCCGTTACTCATTTTTTATACCTCTTTCTTACCTTAAAATCTGTGTATGATAATAATGCAGTCATGTCAACTATATTTTGGTTTTGATTATATGGTATATCTTTTTCCATCTTTTTACTTTCAATCAACATAATTTCTATATATATAAAATACGTTTCCTTTGTTGTTGTATTATACTTTCTTTATCTTTCCTTTAATACGATTATTTAGTCCAGAGGTTGGTAATTTTTTTTCTATAAAGGCAAGTAATAAATATTTTCAGTTTTGACAATTGTAAGGTCTCTGATGGAATTTCTCAGTGCTATTTCAGCACAAAAACAGCCATAAACAATGCAACATGATTGGGTGTGCCTGTGTGCCAGCTGACTTTAAAAAGTGGCAAGTGGCCAGGTACAGTGACTCACACTTATAATGCCAGAGCTTTTGGAGGCCAAGGTGGGAGGATCACTTGAGGCCAGGAGTTCAAGATTAGCCTAGGCAACATAGCAAGACCCTGTCTCTACCACACATGCACAAAAAACTGGCAAGCCAGATTTGGCCCAAAGGTTATAATTTGCTGACTCCTGCCCTGATGTATGCCCAAGGTAGTCTGTTGGGATGGAATAAAAATTGTAGGAAGTTTATTTACATTTTTTGGCTACAAAAATAAGAATTAAAACAAAAGCTTTACTAATGTATCTATTTATAGTATATGTATATAACTCATAAATATATACAGTTTATAAACATTTTCTTTGAGACAAGGTCTTGCTCTGTCACCAAGGCTGGTATACAGTGGTGTGATCATGGCTCACTGCAGCCTCAGCCTCCTGGGTTCAAGCAATCCTCCTGCCTCAGCCTCCCAAGTAGCTGGGACTACAGGCACATACCACCATACCTGGCTAATTTTTTAAGTTTTTTGTAGAGACACTGCCTTGTTGTGTTGCCCAGTCTGGTCTTGAACTCCTGGGCTCAAGCAGTCCTCCCACCTTGGCCTCCCAAAGTGCTGGGATTATAGGCATGAGCCACTGCACCTCTCCTATAAAAACTTTTACTAATTTAATACCTTCAAAGTATAAGATAAAATTAGATTCAAAATAGGCATCCTTTATATTCGTTCAAGCTTTTTAGAGTTAAACATGATAAAAATTGTTCTCATGGGTATTTTCTACATCATCTAATTCTGAACCCTTCAGATTGAATAGAAATGTACTGTTACAGGCGTCAGTGTCATTCAAGGACGTGACTATAGAATTCACCCAGGAGGAGTGGCAGCAAATGGCCCCTGTTCAGAAGAGTCTGTACAGAGATGTGATGCTGGAGAACTACAGCAACCTCGTCTCAGTGGGTAAGCATGTAAACATAAGTTACCCTTGTAATTCCTTATAGAAGGTATTTCTTCTTTAAGTGCCAATACATGTGAGCAATATACTTAGAGTTTAATGTTATTTAGGCTTTTCATTCAGGATTCCAAAGTAACTATGCCCTGTCAAGGACTAGAAATATGTTGTCAACTCCCAGTGATAAATGCAAAGGAGCACTTTCAGGACACTGCTTCCGAAGCTGTATTTTCTTCCACTTTTGGAGACTAAAATCTCATATATCTGGTCTAAGTCCTCTATTATTCTTTATTTACAGGGTACTGCCATTTCAAACCAGAGGTGATCTTCAAGTTGGAGCAAGGAGAAGAGCCTTGGTTCTCAGAGGAAGAATTCTCAAACCAGAGTCACCCAAGTGAGTTACTGAGCAGTAGTAGATATAATTCTGTAGGAGTGGTTGGACTCCAGGTCACTTTAGGGGTGAACACCTGAATATTACAAGACTTTTCTTAGAAAGTCTAAGGGCACAAAAAGTAGCAGTTAAAAGAAAATGATTAATAAAGTTGATTCCATTAAAAGTAAGAAATTTGTTAATAAAATATATTATTCAAATGGTGAAAAGACAAGCCACCAACTACCATAATATGCATGTAGTGCAAATAATTAGAAAGGATATGCTTCCTGAAAATGTAAAGAAATTCTGCAAGTCATTGTGGGAAAAGATGGGCAACCCATTTGAAAAATGGGCAAAAACATTGAACAAGAACTTTTAATATGGCCAGTAAATCTTAGAAAATGTGTTCAATCTCATTAGTTTTCATGGAGCACAAAATAATATATGAAATGAGATATGAGGTGAAATAACAGATACGAAGCAAGTTTACAAATATGGCAATGCCAAGTCTTGGTGAGTATATGGAATGTTAGACACCCTCCACTGACTGGAAATATAAACTGGTAAAACCACTGTGATAGCAGGAGGATGTTTTCTTTTTCTTTTTCTTTTTTTTTTTTTTTTTGAGACGGAGTCTTGCTGTGTCACCCAGGCTGGAGTGCGGTGACACAATCTCAGCTCACTGCAAGCTCCACCTCCCAGGTTTATGCCATTCTCCTGCCTCAGCCTCCCAAGTAGCTGGCACTATAGGCACCCGACACTATGCCCAGCTAATTTTTTGTATTTTTAATAGAGACGGGGTTTCACCTGTTAGCCAGGATGGTCTTGATCTGACCTCGTGATCCGCCCGCGTCAGCCTCCCAGAGTGCTGGGAATACTGGCATGAGCCGCCACGTCCAGCCTCTTTTTCAAAAATTTCCATAGGTGTTTGGAGAACAGGTGTTGGTTACATGAGTAAGTTCTTTAGTGATTTGTGAGATTTTGATGCACCCATCACCCAAGCAGTATACAATGAACCCAATTGGTAAGTCTTTTTTTCCCTCTCCCCCTCCCCACCCTTCCCCTACCCCAAGTCTCCGGAGTCCATTGTATCATTCTTATGCCTTTGCATCCCACCAGGATGTTTTCTAATCAAGGTATACTTTTGCATATGTTGTAGCCAAGTAATTCCTTTTCTAACCTTATGACCAACAGAAAGATATGATTATGTTCTCTGGAATACATAAAAGAATATTAATGGCAGTATTGTTTATGTTTGGCAAAAATTGTGCTCATCAACAGTAGAATGGAGAAACAGTTGTATTCTTTAAGGAAAAATTATACAGCCACATAAAATCTTGTACACTGATTACAAACATGGTATTAACCAAAAGAAAACAAAAAATATGCATATATGGTTATGTAAAGGTCAGAAGCAGGCAAAATTCAACTATATTTTTAGGAATTCATACATTGGTGATAAAACTGAAAAAATCAAAGAAATGATTACATAAATATTAGGAGAGTGGTGAATTCTAACCATAGAGAAATTATAACCAAGCAGAGGTACACAGGGATTTTTGCAGAGCCATTTGTGGTTCATGACATGGTTTCTGATTCCATGAGTGTTCACTTAATACTATTAAGTTGCACACGAAAGTTTTATGCAGATATGTATTGTTTCATGCTTAATAAAATATTAAGAGGTAAGTGAGAAGTGGCAGATGATATTTGCAATATGACCTGTCAAGGATAGGCATTTAGAATGCATAAATAATCCAGACCTCTCTTAAATGTCATTTTCACAGTAAAACTTTCTGTGATACCCTGTTTAAAATTGTACCCTTCATGTCAGGTTGAAATGTGGAAACTTAGGATGGGATGATCAGGTTCTCTTAGTGCTTAGTTCTGATGGAATACATCAATGCTATGATAGCCAGAATGGAGCAGTGCATCTAAGTTAGTTGCAAGAATGCATTTTAATTTCAACAATTTTATACTTGCTATGAATCACAACCATAAGACGGGTTAGAGCTGTAAACTTTTTCATTTAATCATAAAGAAGTTGGTGCTGTTATAAATTTAATTTGATATTGAATTGAGGGATATCAAATTGTAAGAATGTAGACAGTAGACTATTCTAACCACTATAATCTAGATAATGTCAAGACCTAGACTATAACTTACTTTCAACTGTAATTTACTTTCAACTATTTTCCTTGTTATACTACTTACATTTAGGGTTTTTGTTGTATTTATCCCATTCTCTGTTTTTCCTGCTCCCTAAAATAACTACCCCTATAAAAAGCTTAAGTTTTATTTTATTTTCTTTCCTCTCTCCACCCAGTTAGGAAAATCTTACTACTCACATGCAAAATATGTATTCATTACCAGTTTCCTCTCCCATTTGCACTATAGCAATATTATTTTTTAAAGGAGGGTGGTCTGAGATATATGTATTTACACACATATACATCTGAATTATTTAATCTTGATAAATCATTAAATGCAACATAGGCTATATGTTGATAAGCCCTACCCACAAAAGATGTAAGAGTCATAAGATGTTTTCAATATTTCTGTTTTAGAAGATTACAGAGGTGATGACCTGATCAAGCAGAACAAGAAAATCAAAGACAAACACTTGCAGCAAGCAATACGTATTAATAATAAAACATCGAGTACAGAGGAAGAGAAAGTTTTGGGGAAACCATTTACTCTGCATGTAGCTGCTGTTGCTTCAACAAAAATGTCCTGCAAATGTGACTCATGGGGTGTGAATTTGCAAAGTATTTCTGAATTTATCATTAATAATAGAAACTATTCAACAAAGAAAATAGGTTGCTGTAATGTATGTGAGAATTCACCTTTCAAAATTAACTTTGAGAAAACTCAGACTGGAGAGAAATTTTATGAACATAATAAAAACATGAAAGCTCTCAATTATAATGAAAATCTTCCCAAGCATCCAAAGTTTCACACTTTGGAGCAAGCTTTTGTATGTAATAAAATTGGAAAAGCCTTTAATGATAAGGCTAACTGTGTTAAACGTAAGAGTCCTCACACAGGAGAAACATCCTCTAAAGATGATGAATTTAGGAAAAATTGTGATAAGAAAACTCTCTTTGACCACAGGAAAACTGGCACAGGGAGGAAACACCCGCATCTTAATCAGTGTGGGAAATCCTTTGAGAAGTCACCTGTGGAGGAATATAATAAATTTAACATGGGTATAAAACATTATGAATTAAATTCAAGTGGAAATAATTTCAACAGAAAGGCACACCTCACTGATCTTCAAACAACTGTCACAGAAGAGAATCCATTGGTAAATAGTGACAGAACACAGACTTGGGTTAAATCTTCTGAATGTCATGAAAATAAGAAATCCTACCAGACATTGGTTCACAGAGTTCGCCAGAGAGGTCACTCGAAGATAAAACCCTATAAATGTAATGAATGTGGGAAATCCTTCTGTCAGAAAGGACATCTCATTCAACATCAGAGAACTCACACAGGCGAGAAACCATTTGAATGTAGTGAATGTGGAAAAACTTTCTCCCAGAAGTCACACCTCAGTACTCATCAGAGAATTCACACAGCAGAAAAACCCTATAAATGTAATGAATGTGGAAAAACATTTGTCCAGAAGTCAACCCTCAGGGGACATCAAAGAATTCACACAGGAGAAAAACCCTATGAATGTAGTGAATGTGGGAAAACTTTTGTTCAGAAGTCCACCCTCAGAGATCATCACAGAATCCACACAGGGGAGAAATCCTTTCAATGCAATGAATGTGGAAAAACATTTGGCCAGAAGTCAAACCTCAGAATACATCAGAGAACTCACACTGGGGAGAAAACTTACCAGTGTAATGAATGTGAAAAATCCTTCTGGCGAAAAGATCATCTCATTCAACATCAGAAAACTCACACGGGAGAGAAACCATTCAAATGTAATGAATGTGGGAAAACTTTTGCCCGGACATCAACCCTCAGAGTGCATCAAAGAATTCACACTGGGGAGAAACCATTTAAATGTAATGAATGTGGGAAAAAATTTGTCCGGAAAGCAATCCTTAGTGATCATCAGAGAATTCACACGGGGGAGAAACCCTTTCAGTGTAATAAATGTGGGAAAACTTTTGGCCAGAAATCAAACCTCAGAATACATCAAAGGATTCACAGTGGGTAGAAATCTTATGAATGCAGTGAATATGGGAAATTACATAAGAAGTCAACCCTAAGCATATACCAGAAAATTCAGGGAGAGGGGAATGCCTATTGATGTAACAACTAGAAAATCCTTTCGACAAAAAGAATACCCCATTTGATATCAGAGATACACAAAAAACAGTTCAGGGTAGTGAATGTAAGAAGACAGTCCCAGAAGTAAACCCTCACGGTGAATCAAAGAATTCACATAGGAAAGAAACCAGATGAAGATGAATGCAGGAAGAATTGTGTCCAAAAGGTAACCTTCCAAGTATATCGAAGAATTCACACAGGCTTTTCTTCTCTTTTCAGAGTACTATGGATAGGCCTGAATGAAGTCATACCCTATAGATAGCTCCCACACATCACACAGGCTGGTAATCTCTTCACCAATACCAGTTTCATTTTATTCCGGGCACATAGTCCAAATTTCCCAATCTCCTTTTCATCCAGGTTGGTCTTTGTGACTGGCTACTAAGATGTGGATGTCCATCCCAGCCTGAAAAATAAGAGACTTCCCTAACAAATTACCAGGGCCCTGTCACAACAAAATGGATGTCATTTCTAAGACAAACTTGGTGCCGTGCTTGAATGCAGCATGGTACACGATAAGTCAGTGTGCCTGAATGAATATATGCAGCAAAATTCTCTTCTGCATCTTTCCCAGTTGAACATGATGTGAGCAAAATTTAAGCTTATACAGTAGTCCCCCCTTATCTGCATTTTCACTTTACGCAATTTCCATTACCCATGGTCAACTGCACTTTAAAGTTATTAAATGGATCCAGAAATAAACAATTCCTACATTTGAAATTGCACCAAATTCTGAGTAGTGTCATGAAGTCTCATACCCTCCTGCTGTCTCTACCATGAGGGTTATTGAATCATTCCTTAGTCTAGTGTACCCACACTATCTGCCAGTTAGTCACTTACTTGGCATTTTAGTTATCAGATCACCTGTCAGGGTATGGCAGTGCTTGTATTCAAGTAACACTTATTTTACTAAATAGTGGCCTCAAATTGTAAGAGCAGTTCTGGCATGTTGTTACAATTATTCCATTTTATTATTAGTTGTTAATCTCTCGCTATGCCTAATTTATAAATTTAACTGTCGGCCGGGCGCGGTGGCTCACGCCTGTAATCCCAGCACTTTGGGAGGCCGAGGCGGGCGGATCACAAGGTCAGGAGATCGAGACCATGGTGAAACCCCGTCTCTACTAAAAAATATAAAAAAAAAAATTAGCCGGGCGCAGTGGCGGGCGCCTGTAGTCCCAGCTACTGGGGAGGCTGGGGTAGGAGAATGGCGTGAACCCGGGAGGCGGAGCTTGCAGTGAGCCGAGATTGCGCCACTGCACTCCAGCCTGGGCGACAGAGCGAGACTCCGTCTCAAAAAAAAAAAAAAAAAAAAAAAAAAAAAAAATTTAACTGTCATAGGCATGTGTATATATAGGAGAAAAATATAGTCTATACAGGGTTCAGTATACCCGTGGTTTCAGACATCCACTTGGGATTCTTAGAGAGCATCCTTTGTGGATAAGTGGGGACTACTGTATTCTGTTGAGCGTTTACATGTTTGAGTCTATTTGTTTCTACACATAATTTAGTTATGTTCTGCTAGGAAGGCAGAAAGCTGCTGTGTAAGCCAAGCTTAAGTCAACCAGAGGGCACAAACCTTATCAGGAGGTTATAAAGTCAAGGAGAACCTCAAATATGATCAGAGAATTGTGGAAAAGACATCCTTTCAATGTAATGAAATTGATAGTACCACCTGATACAGGGCTTTGCATGAACCTAAAAGTCTTTTTTGGCTGAATGGTGAGCAGCCACTGTGCAGTTCAACATAATTGTGCCTTGCTTAATTGCACAAAGGTACTTCCTCCACACCTCCTGACACCTCCATATACCGAGCTATTCTGCTTTAAGGAAGAGTTTTCCCTGGCTCCAAAGGCTGTTGGCACCCAACCAAGTATTATGGGAAACCTCCAAGGAGGGGAGGGGTTCAAATTTATATGGCTTTATTGAATCCATGCCCAAGACAACATCTTACTAGTTCATGTGGGGATAAGGGACATCTAGATTTAGCTAATGGGGTTTGGGTAGGGAAGGCAAACAAATGTAATAACCTTATGGATGAGGTACTTTGGGCAAGTGGAGTGTACTACAGTTATGTTTACATCTGAAAGTATAGTAGGGATTCCCATCAGTTGTAGAGAGAATTCTAATTCCCTGTAATTCGCATAAGTCATAGAATTCTAATCAGGAAGAACTGTATGTAAAGATACGTCTGAGGTCCAACAGCTCTGATCATTTTGGGCTTCAGGTCTCTGTGACTGGTGATTTCATGGGTTGAAACTTCTGGCAAAAGGGAGCAGCCCTTGGGAGCTGGGGGATAGGGTTGACTTGATTCCCTGACAAGGCTTCCAGGTCCATCCCTTCTGAAAAACATCTGTTAGTTTACTCTTGGGCTCTTTTACACATTGGATATCTCTTCCCTGGGTAGAGGGCACTGACCTAAAATTCCAGTTTGGGAGTGTGTCGTCTTGGACTCAACAACTAACAAAATGAAAAGGACCCAGCAAGCCTCACTTGCGGAGTGAAAATGGAGCATTCAGGAAAGCAGCTGTCCTGGCCCCACAGTCTGTCCACTGTATATGCAATAGTAGTAGCTGTCTCTTAAAAGGGAAATAATGTATCCCCTCTTTCCTGAAGGAAGTAAAGTTGCTGTCTTATAGAGTCCTCAATTCATAGAGGTTACTGTAATTGGACCTGGCTCACTGATGGTTTCACTAACTGAAACTACTAGGATCCTACTCAGTGCTGTTAAGAAACCCAGAGTGAAAAGAACACAGTGTTCTCAGCTCTGGCCAATACTCCATTTGATGAACCTTATTACATTTTTGTTAAACCTTGGGCTCTGGATGTGGCCTAGCTATTTGATATTCTAGTTGGAAATTATATATTAAAAAGCACCCTTTCATCCTTTGTACATGGGGGGTAAAAGTCACAGCTGCTTAATACAACCATCTGGGTTGCTCAAGTAGATGCCCATAATAAGAGACTATTTTCTGATAAGACTGACTGGAATCAAGCTGCCGATTGAGCTTTCTCCATCCAGATTCTGACCATTGCTACTTGGATCCATCATTTTACTGGTACGGCAAAAAGTCACCCATTTCACACTGGGTACGAAGTAAAGGGCTCTTTATCTGATGCTTCCACTGATGTCATTGGATACAAGAATTTACAAAAATTTTTTCCTTCTGGATAAATAGCAAGTATGCCATTGATTAATATGCCATTGATTAATTCAGCTTTTTCCCACTGATTTTAAATATCTTTATATACTAAATTGTCATTTGTAAATAGTGCATATGACTGATTAAACATTCTGATATTTTAGTAACATCCTTTTGTGAATAGGACTGGCATGTACAGGAGCCATACTACCCATCTTTCTGGCCTGTTATTGAATTTTTCACAGAAGGATAACTGAACCAAGTTTGGAAAAAGAATACATCTTAGGACTTAAGAAATAGAATATCATAGGCCAGTTACATTGTAACAGTAGAACTGCCAGCAGCTTTACCAAGAAAATGCATTGACAACAGGAGAACATAAGGTTACCCCTGGAGAGAAGCAGATATGACAGGAAGATTAATGGTACACAACCCAGTTAGTACCTGTTAGGACCAGTTAGTCCCTGAGAATCAAAACATCACTGTTTACTCTGTTTTTGTAATGCTTCGTAATATAAAGCAAGTCTTTCTTTAAACTTTTTTTACTCAGACTCAGAAAGAAAATATTTAAAATTATCTCTCTCCCTGCCCCTTTTAAATAGGATATTTGAGGATTATGATTGGGTTTGATATTAAGGATCAGGAACCCTGTAGGGTGGAACTGATTCACTCAGGCGGCCTGAGTCACTGGGAGGCCAGGTGACAAAGCCCCATGACTGGGGACTCATGTGTTACCTGCTGTCCCTTAGCAGAGGTAGGCCCATGGGATACCTTTCCATACAATACATCACCAATTGGAGACCATGGTCTGTGCTCTAGTCATGTATGCTCCCTCTCCCTGCCTGGTTGATCTCCTTAGCAACTCATGGTCTTTTGCTCTGGCAGATGGATGCCTCATCTAGAGACCCTGGAGGAGTTCATTTTCTGTGTGCCCACCCATTAAGGGCCTTCAAGCTAATAAAGGTAGAAAACAAGGCAGGAATTTTTGTCTGTTTTATTCACAATGTATCTCAAACACATGAAACAGTCCCTCTTCGTATTCGGCACTAAGAAATACTTGCTGAAAGTACAGTTAGCAAAGTGAAATCTGAACATTGTTCCTTTTGATGTTCTAAGTTATCTTTTGAGGTGATTAATTTATTATAAATAGGTAAAATATTGCTATAAGTTCTCCATTTACGGGTATTTTATAAATTTTTAAAACTTGTTCTTAATCTTCAGAAGTGTACAGAACTGTTCTTCAGATCTTTGTCAACCAAAACATGTATTTTCAATAAATTGAGATTCCCAGTTCAAAGTTATGTGTACACATTTAATCAGTTTATTAGTATTGTAGAGTATAACTTTTTTTTTTGCTTTGCTTCCACACAAATACTTTGTTAAGTACCAGTCTAAGGAATTTTGCAAAACAATAATGTAAAAACCCATTTCCAAGATCAACCAGATGGGCATGCAAAGAAAATCTGGGAATCATCACTTTAATCCATTTTAACAATAGTTCCCCTCATTTTTACTCTCCAAATAATCCTTCTGACAGTTCAAAGGAGAAGAGTTTTTTGTTACATTCACATATCTTTGCCCTTGGAGAGACATGTTACCCTGAAAGAAGGGGTATAACACCTTCATGTGACTTCCTGCCTCTATGTTTGTCTTCTCTGATACCTTTTCATATTAAATGTCTTCCCAGAGCCCCAGAAGAAATATCTTCTGTCCTTGCACTAGGGTAGCCTTTTATAACGGGGGAGAAATTTGTTTTCTTGTCAGATTGAACAGTCTTCAAGTACCAACAGCCTGCCTGGCCAACTGGCTATGTTAGTGATCTTCCAGTATTCTAAGGAGCACTGACAGAACTGTATCTAGTTTACATCAGTTGACTGACCCATTGATACTTAAACTAGGAAACTGGTTGGCCTGATTTCTTGGCAAAAGACATCACCAAAATAAATTTGACCAATCAGATGTGCTGGGACTGAGTGGCAGGTTCAGGATGGGTAATGTCATCGCTAACTAATGAGGGTTTCCTATCCTCATTTAGTTCCTTATTCACCAAATGTCTCCAATGCACACACGCCTCACAATTCAGTAATCCCTTAAATGGCAAGGGTGAAGAGGCTACGCTCTTTAAAAAAAAAGAAAAGAAATATTACTTAATGAGCCAAAAAGGATTGAGATGACAACCTTGTACATACCTTCAGCATACCTGATTATGGTTTACTCCTCTGTAACTTGATGTTCAGATGCACTAAATTAAATGCTCCAAATCAATGCACCAATCTCAGTCCTCACTGAAGCCAACTAGTGATCAGTCTTTTTCCCCTTTGCCTCATTGATGTAACCTGCCTGACATCTGTGGCATGAATCTGCAAGCCATGCCCTAATCCATTTCACACCAAATAATTTGTACCCTCAGGAAACCCTTATTTCCTTAGAAACATGTAATATTCTTTAGAATATGACAGTTGTTAACCATCATATTCCTAATCCCTCCATTAATAGTAACAATCCTTGCCCCAAAGGCACTTACTGCCTCTCTTACCAACTTTGATCTTATCTTTTACTATTTTCCTAGGGTC